GCTAGTCCCTATCCTAAATTCTCCTATCCAGCTTCCTATTATTACTAAGTAATAGCTGTTTCGCATTAGATTGTGCCTTCCTCTGATTACTGCAGCTCATTGCATTAATTTAGTTTCAAATACCAACTTGTTGTTTATTAAAGCATAATAAAAATGAAATTTAAATGACAACATTTGATAATATCTAAACTTACTTCTATCCCGTAAAAGTAATCCAAGATTAGTACAATTGACTAGCAACAGGTATCCCTCATTCAGGGAAAGCTCTCTCCCTCTTCTGTTATTTTATGGTTCAAATCCTATTATTACCAAATTATAATCTTCTTCACACTTTTCACAGCACTATAAATTACCCTCAACTTGATAAAATAAACCATCCCAAAGTCCTCCTCTCATGCCCCCAGAACCACCAGTGTGGATGACCAATCAACACCAGAAAGTCAAAACAGAGCCCAGAGGCCATTGAAATCACCCAACAAACCGTTCCATCCCACAGCATAGTAAACACCAAGTCCTCATGACATCCACTCCCACAAGAAATCATGCACACTCCAAACTCAGTCAAAAACTGAAAAACTCCATTAAATTCACTGTGTGTGCTCCTTTAAGACCCATCACCTATGAACTGTTGAAAACCCCCTAAATTCAACATAACAACCCCCTTTATAAACATCATACTAGGTGTGATGTTTTTTATTTGAAACACCCAATTGAAAAACAACAACCAAAAATAGCCAGGCCCCACTTAATTTGGTAGCTCACTTTTACGACCTAAATACTGCCTAACTTCACTACTGCTCCCCCTAGCCCTGGGCAACATTCCAATGAGATAAGCTAATCTCTTTCTCCTGGTTATACATTTTGTTAACCTTCAATTACCATCAGTAATCTAAAGATGGTAAGTACACACAAAACATGATACAGATATCCCCAGTCCTAACTCATCAATAATCGTTTGTATCAATCTAATTCCTCATAACTAATCCATAAAACCACTCAAAATTCCTAGAGTATACAATGATTTAATTGATTACCCTAAATCTGCTACATGTGATCTCATCTCAAATGATCCATTATCAATCATTTGATCAACCCCCTAGGAAAATCTGTCTCCCCTTCTATTGTTCCTGTCGCCCCTGTAAATGTCATATTTCATTCATTAGCCAATATAATCACATACTCCGTGTAAGTAAGACATTATATTTTATCCCAGGCATCCCTTAACATAATGCTATAGGAGACTTCCATCAATCCTGGAAGACACTATATAATACCACGTTTCATTAAGTTCACTACACCTTCTAATACAACCCTATAACTCCTTTCTATTAATTTAATCATCGCAACCTGTGGCATTGATGTTTTTAAAATATAAACCTATTGTTTAATAACTTCATACTTTTAACCAATGTTTATTCAATCCATCATCCTAATAGTCACAACTATATCCCATTGTTCAGCGTACCATAAACAGATTATCGTTTTAGAAATCACCAATTATTTTCATACACCACTGGTGTTACCCAACCTATACAATAAAGTAATAACCATTAGACTTTGTCAAAGAAATGCTTTTCATTCAACTATTAAAACTTCTGCTCGATCTAGTCAAGCAAGTACAACTCTTTTACCCGGGAACTAGAACCATAAATTATTTTCCTTTGTCCTCAACTTCAATTATCGCAATTTCAGTTCGCTATTCAATTTCTTTAACTGTTCTCTCTGATTAGGCCCTAATTAATAAAACAAATACTTGCTATCGTTGATAAGCATACATTTAATTATATTCCTATCATTTGAACTATGTACTGTCTCTCACCCCTTCCCCCCCCCTGCTCCTTCCTACACAAAGGGGGAGGCGCGAGGACCTGCCCTAATCATCTTCCTTCTTAGGAAATAATGTCATTCGTACTTGTAACATATTTTCATAGACCTTTCTAGAATACTTCTAAAGCTATCTAATTCAACTTTCACATTTCTCAATCCACGTAGTAATCTAGGTCCATAGCCCCAATGCGAAAGCTTTACCCACTGTCCCTACCTGGGTTAGAACCAGGGACCCTCTACAAACATTGCCAGTCACTCTACAAAATCCGCGATTCCTTCAAAGCAACTACTTCCAGTTCATAGAGCAAGTGACGTCACCAAATGAAAACCGCACTAGCTCTCACCTCATTCAGCAACACAAAAACTCTCTCTCCCTGCACCTATTCCCGTTGAATAAGTGAGTCTTTCTATTTAACCCAAACCACTCTATAAATCTTCCATTCAACATCACCAAACCAAATACTCAGTAGTATCCGGTTACCACCCATACCAGCCGTTGAATTCACTCATACATACAGATTTCACCTTATGCCATTGAAATGCCCAATAAACCATAATAGTTCAATGTAACCCTCTATTGGCTCTCTACTATATTATACATTACTTCTATAACCACATTAGTTATGGTCCGATTACCCATTAAACCTTATCACATGATCAAACAACGGCACAACCTTAAACTCATATGGGGCAGCAGGTAGCTTAGTGACCAAGAGCGCCGTGCCAGCAACTGAGAGGTTGCCGGTTCCAATCCCCGAGCCGACCCTGCGAAAAATCTGTCGATGTGCCCCCGAGCAAGGCACCCAACCCCAATTGCTCCTGCAAGTCGCTCTGGACAAGAGCGTCCGCTAAATGACCGCAAATGTAAATATTCTCTACTTTCTCACCCATGACGTACGTCTACGTTTGGGTGAGAAAGTTCATACGTATATATCGTTAGAAATGTATAGGTACCTCTCAAATAATCGCTTCGTGGTGTTTTTAGCCAATTCTTAATCGACACAAATCACTTCTTCAAACATTTTACCCATGGAACCAAAAAATAGACTGTAATTTCCCGGACACTGCCCTTTCCTTTATCTCTGCAGTCAAGATGGTTATGACCTGTTTTGTTACAGTATTTACACGGCGCCTCACACTCTCTGGCAAAATTCTCTAGTGTTTCCTGACTCTCCAAAAGCCATACTCTCGCTGTGTCTAGCCCCTCCCCTCGCTGTTTCTTCAAATCCGTCTCGCAATTGACATGCATCTCCCTAATCATAGCCTCTAATATCTCTACATCGAGATGCCCAATAAATCCATACCTCTTCTCCCAAACGGATCCATAAAACATATTTCTTTCATCCCCCGTTAATTCTCGGACCTCTTTAGATTATTTATTTCCCATGGTAGAAAAATAAGAAATCCCCCCGTTTAGTAATAATTCAATCAAGAATTATTTTATTTGGGACTTATTATTTGGTGCGACTTTTGAGCAAATGTTTATGATCTGCTTTTGTAATCAACCATTTAAATTATTCAACCCGTAACCCAGAGTTTTTTAAGATTCCAGTTTCATGAAACGGATGGGACAACCATTTTTTTTCTCACGCGACCTATTTTAGTCCCTTCCTTGAAACAATTATCACGTATTTCGATGGATCATTAGGTCTCACACTAAACAACCTTATACGATTTTTTGCTAACACTATCCGTAACCCAGAGGTCGTAAATGCTCTAGTTTGATGAAATAGACAGAGTTAGAGCAAATCCCCAGTTGTTTATGACTCTTGACTTGTTTAATGTATCTATCTCACACAATGATAATTATCTCCCTTCCTGTTTATATTGTAAACACTGTACCCCGTACAATCTCAATATTAACTAGTTTATTTTGGTAATGGCCATTTACCTTGAGTCATTTCAGACCCCCTTCCTTCCTTTTAATTCTCTTATGAGATTTTGGTAACTATTCTCTGCCCTTCACAATAATTACTATTCTTATACAAGTTCAAATAATATCACCAAAATCCATGAATAAAAATGACTGACCTTCTCCTTGCAGTTGGGATTTAAATGCTTTTTCAGATCTTGTCAACGTCTTTATTGTTCATAAGGTTCATCACCGGCCTGTTTATAACCTTAACGTCAAAGGCCAGGTCTATTCTATACGGATGCTATCATCCGCCCGTGCACGTTTTTTTTGGTGTCCTCAGAACGATAAAGACGTATTTTGAGATCCGGCTCGAAGGACCATTTGTCAGGAGAATTTCTCTCTAATTAATCAAACTTAATGCTTTGAATAATTCCCAGAGGGTGTAAGGCTCTGGTTTAATCATTAATTAAACGAAGGTCCACAACCAGCAAGAATGATCTGTATGTTTAATCATGGAGAGCTCTGCGGCCAAAAAATACATATACAGCTTTTATGCCCCTTGACACACAAAGGCACTTTGCTCCGCCCATCTTTAGGCGGCTTTTAAACAGTTTCTCAGTCCCATTGACCCTGGAATGTTTTCTCAGCAGTTTCTAACCCCCCCCCCCGTCTGTTAGTGGGTTGACACTACATTATAACTCTAACACCGTTCACACATTTATACTGTATTTGGGGTGAAATCCTTTAGTCATTATTCTTAAAATACAAATTAATCTATCAGATGTAAACTCATTACGTAGAAAGTTGTTGTCCTGACTAAAGTATTGGGTTATCCTAACGTGCATGTAGCATTTACTTTTCCTGAACTCAACTATTTTATCTGAATACTGTAACTGTATATTTTAATTGTACAGCCCGACGACGTCTGACGTCATGTGCGTCAACAACGTTCTGCACTGTGGTGCGTCTCAAAATATCTTGACAAAGATGGCTGCTCGATTCAAGCAAGGGAATTTCAAATACCGTTAAGGATTTTCGTAGTATGTTTTGTTTACCCCATATGTAACTCTGTGTTGTTGTTTTTATCGCACTGCTTTGCTTTATCTTGGCCAGGTCGCAGTTGTAAATGAGAACTTGTTCTCAACTGGCTTACCTGGTTAAATAAAGGTGAAAAAAAAAGATGAAAAAAAAAAAAGAACAAACGTCTGGTGGAGAGTTTTGAAGTAAGGAGGTAATTAACTGTTTTGTCAACGACTGTATATTCAAACAGGTTTTAGTGTGTGGCTGGAACTAAACAGTCCCGTTTTTTAGCTCCAGTATTGGCAACATCAAACCGAAGAGGAAGATTAGCAAACAGGTGAGCATATATTAGCATTGGACAGTTAACGTTCGCATGTTGATTGAGTTCTATTTTCGTTTTTGTTATTAGTGAGTTTTATGGAGATATCGTGCAATTCAGTTTAGCTAACGTTACATGCTGACTAGACCAGGCATGCGCGTGTGATTTTGTCCACCCACACCAGACGCGATCAGGACACGCAGGTTGAAATATCAAAACGAACTCTGAACCAACTATATTAATTTGGGGACAAGTCGAAAACCATTAAAAATTTATGGCAATTTAGCTAGATAGCTTGCTGTTGCTAGCTAATTTGTCCTGGGATATAAATATTGGGTTGTTATTTTACCTGAAATGCACAAGGTCCTCTACTCCGACAATTAATCCACAGATAAAAGGGTAAACTGAGTTTGTTTCTAGTAATCTCTCCTCCTTCAAGCTTCTTCTTTGGACTTTATATGGCGGTTGACAACCAACTTTAAGGTGCATTACCACCACCAACTGGACTGGAGTGTGGACCTCAGTTCATCTTTCAATCACCCAAGTGGGTATATGCTCGTAAAAACCAATGAGGAGATGGGAGAGGCAGGACTTGCAGCGCATCAAGCGTCACAAATAGAACTAAGTTATATTTTAGCGCCTGGCTACGCAGACGCTCGTTAACGCGCTCGAGCAGTGTGAATGCAATGATTGAATAACATGTATGTGTACATTTATTTTGCAACGCTCGCGCACGTAACGTGAGCGGTGTGGTCAGCATGCTAGTCTAGGAATACTGAAAGTATTCCAACAAATCTGTGCGATATTTGATTTGGTAACCCCACTAGCTAGTTTGCTAAATTAACGTACATCATGCTTGCTAAATAGATGCATGCAAAGCATTGATACATAGCATGTGGGCTAGCTAACATTAGCCATCAAGCGAACTCCTGTTGATTAAGTTACCATTGAGTGCCCTATTTTCTGATTTAGATGCATTTGTTGCATCGACCTGTGGCTTCATCAGATTATTTTTATTTTGTATTATTCAGTGAAGAGGTTTTGGTTAAATGGTAATGTACTTCTAGGGCTTTTTTTTAAGTATCCATTAGCTAAGTTCCAGTATCCAGTGAGATATTTTGAATGCAATCTCAAATGTCTGGTCTGACTCTTGATTATATCTTAGTTGAAGTTTCAAAAGCCTACTTTTTTCTTCCTCCCTTAGGCTCAAGCTGAGAATGATGAGCAGCAGTACTTAATTAATGCCAGTACTTAAAGGCATGTCTCAATGCAATCCCTGAATATCTGTCCTGCTGTGCCATAAGATAAGGAATTAGCCTAAACTGGAGTGTATTTAGATAAATCTAAGTGATTTAAGAAATAAACACCATTTTAGTTTGACTTTCAGATTTTTCATTCAATGGAGTGGAAATGTAAGTTGTGTGCTGCCTCCTTTGATATCAGAGCTAAATTACTTAAACACTACCGTTTGAAACACTACTGTTTGTCTAGTGGACATTGAGGAGCTTCCTGAGAAAGCTGTCCATCCACGACCCATTTTCAATGCCCTGGCTGAGGGAAGGAGGTTCTCACCCAAGATTTGACGGTACATGGCCCCGTCCATCGTCCCTTTGATGCGGTGAAGTTGTCCTGACCCCTTAGCAGAAAAACACCCCCAAAGCATAATGTTTCCACCTCCATGTTTGACGGTGGGGATGGTGTTCTTGGGGTCATAGGCAGCATTCCTCCTCCTCCAAACACGACGAGTTGAGTTGATGCCAAAGAGCTCCATTTTGGTCTCATCTGACCAGAACACTTTCACCCAGTTCTCCTCTGAATCATTCAGATGTTCATTGGCAAACTTCAGACGGGCCTGTATATGTTCTTTCTTGAGCAGGGGGACCTTGCGGACGCTGCAGGATTTCAGTCCTTCACGGCGTAGTGTGTTACCAATTGTTTTCTTGGTGACTATGGTCCCAGCTGCCTTGAGATCATTGACAAGATCCTCCCGTGTAGTTCTGGGCTGATTCCTCACCGTTCTCATGATCATTGCAACTCCACGAGGTGAGATCTTGCATGGAGTCCCAGGCCGAGGGAGATTTACAGTTATTTTGTGTTTCTTCTCACCAAGCTGCTTGGCGATGGTCTTGTAGCCCATTCCAGCCTTGTAGGTCTACAATCTTGTCCCTGACATCCTTGGAGAGCTCTTTGGTTTTGGCCATGGTGGAGAGTTTGGAATCTGATTGATTGATTGCTTCTGTGGACAGGTGTCTTTTATACAAGTAACAAACTGAGATTAGGAGCACTCCTAATCTCAGCTCGTTACCTGTATAAAAGACACCTCGGAGCCAGAAATCTTTCTGATTGAGAGGGGGTCAAATACTTATTTCTCTCATTAAAATGCAAATCAATTTATAACATTTTTGACATGCGTTTTTCTGGATTTTTTTGTTGTTATTCTGTCTCTCACTGTTCAAATAAACCTACCATTAAAATTATAGACTGATCATTTCTTTGTCAGTGGGCAAACTTACAAAATCAGCAGGGGATCAAATACTTTTTTCCCTCACTGTAGCTACTGTTGTATCAATGTTTTGACCATGACAGTTTACAATCCAGGGTTACTCCAAGCAGTTTAGTCACCTCAACTTGCTCAATTTACACATTATTTATTACAAGATTTAGTTGAGGTTTAGGGTTTAGTGAATGATTTGTCCCAAATACAATGCTTTTAGTTTTAAAAATATTTAGGACTAATTAATTCTTTGCCACCCACTCTGAAACTGACTGCAGCTCTTTGTGTTGCAACCATTTCAGTCACTGTAGGAGCTGACGTGTATAGTGTTGAGTCATCCGCATACATAGACACACTCGCTTTACTCAAAGTCAGTGGCATGTCGTTAGTAAAGATTGAAAAAAGTAAGGGGCCTAGACAGCTGTCCTGGGGAATTCCTGATTCTACCTGGATTATGTGGGAGAGGCTTCCATTAAAGAACACCCTCTGTGTTCTGTTAGACAGGTAACTCTTTACCCACAATATAGCAGGGGGTGTAAAGCCATAACACATATGTTTTTCCAGCAGCAGACTATGATCGATAATGTCAAAAGCCGCACTGAAGTCTAACAAAACAGCCCCAACAATCTTTTTATCATCAATTTCTCTCAGCCAATCGTCAGTCATTTGTGTAAGTGATGTGCTTGATGAACGTCCTTCCCTATAAGCATGCTGAAAGTCTGTTGTCAATTTGTTTACTGTAAAATAGCATTGTATCTGGTCAAACACCATTTTCTCCAAGAGTTTACTAAGGGTTGGTAACAGGCTGATTGGTCAGGTATTTGAGCCAGTAAAGGGGGCTTTACTATTCTTAGGTAGCGGAATGACTTTTGCTTCCCTCCAGGTCTGGGGGCACACACTTTCTAGTAGGCTTAAGTTGAAAATATGGCAAATAGGAGTGGCAATATCGTCCGCTATTATCCTCAGTAGTTTTCCATCCAAGTTGTCAGACCCCGGTGGCTTGTCATTGTTGATAGACAACAATATTTTGAAAGTGTTGTGGTCAGATGAGACCAAAATTGAGCTCTTTGGCATCAACTCAACTCGCCGTGTTTGGAGGAGGAGGAATGCTGCCTATGACCCCAAGAACACCATCCCCACCGTCAAACATGGAGGTGGAAACATTATGCTTTGGGGGTGTTTTTCTGCTAAGGGGACAGGACAACTTCACCGCATCAAAGGGACGATGGACAGGGCCATGTACCGTCAAATCTTGGGTGAGAACCTCCTTCCCTCAGCCAGGGCATTGAAAATGGGTCGTGGATGGGTATTCCTGCATGATAATGACCCAAAACACACTGCCAAGGCAACAAAGGAGTGGCTCAAGAAGAAGCACATTAAGGTCCTGGAGTGGCCTAGCCAGTCTCCAGACCTTAATCCCATAGAAAATCTGTGGAGGGAGCTGAAGGTTTGAGTTGCCAAACGTCAGCCTCGAAACCTTAATGACTTGGAGAAGATCTGCAAAGAGGAGTGGGACAAAATCCCTCCTGAGATGTGTGCAAACCTGGTGGCCAACTACAAGAAATGTCTGACCTCTGTGATTGCCAACAATGGTTTTGCCACCAAGTACTAAGTCATGTTTTGCAGAGGGGTCAAATACTTATTTCCCTCATTTAAATGCAAATCAATTTATAACATTTTTGACATGCGTTTTTCTGGATTTTGTTGTTGTTATTCTGTCTCTCACTGTTCAAATAAACCTACCATTAAAATTATAGACTGATCATGTCTTTGTCAGTGGGCAAACGTACAAAATCAGCAGGGGATCAAATTCGTTTTTCCCTCACTGTATATAGTAGCTATAGCCACGAGGATCCACCCAGCTATTTAAATAACATGCATTCAAACAGGCTCGTTTGAAATGATGCATTTTTAAAAGTTGCTGTTACTTTTGTCCTGTGTTCTTAAAGATCTGTATCCAGCTTGGATGGAAACCTCAGTACGGCCTCTTCGATGTGTTGCCACTAGTCCTGCAGGTCAACGGGAAGGACCCAGACCTTTATGAAATCCCTCCACACCTGATCCTGGAGGTTCCCATGGAACACCCTCAGTGAGTGACTTTAGCCACGTTTCTATTGGATGGTTATGTAAACACACTTTTGAGAACAAGTACAAGGTCAAGCCTGCAGAGAGTTATCATAGCTATTCCACTATGTACAACGACTTTCATTGGTTACGATACTGCTACAAAAGTGGTATCCAGTTATGTTATGACACATGTATGCAAATCCGTTTGATTCCATACTAGATTTGCCATTGATTGGATTCATAAGAGACACAGTATTCAGATCATCAGGCCTCTATAGCCATGGGGATGTTTTTAAGTAGTAGTTATCTAATTAAATCAATGTGTTATGTGGCTGCCTGGGTAAATTCAAACCCTTGCGCCCAGTCGCTCAAGAGCTTGAACTATAAAATAGGTTTTAAAATCAGCCGTCTGGAGCTCTTGAGGAACGGAGCTGAATGGGAGAGAGTGAAGAGCTCTATAGAACTTATCTACGCGGCAAGGCACAGCGATTCTGGTACGGAAAGGAATTCCCTTTCTACATAAAACCACTATTGTGGATAAAGAGGGTCGTTATGTGATCGTAATAGGAGAGATCCATTCTACTTCTGTAACTCTACTACATATCTATGGGCCAAACATTGATAACCCCTCTTTTTTCAAAAGAGTCCTTGCCCTGATTCCAGATATCTCCCATACTAATCTGGTCATTGGAGGGGACCTTAACTGTGTACTAGACCAATATTTGGATAGATCCTCTACCCGGCGAACCCCTACCTCCCATTCAAGCGAATTCTTGAATACCTACATAAAAAATTCTAACTTATTTGATATATGGAGGATCTCTAATCCTACGGGTAGGGAATACTCCTTTTACTCTCATGTTCACAATGTATATACTCGAATTGACTACTTTTTGGTTGATGCTAAACTACTCCCCTATACCTGTAATGTGAGATATCATGATATTATAATCTCTGACCACAGTCCACTCACCTTCTCCCTGAGATTGGGTGACATCGTACCAAACGAGAGGGTCTGGAGGTTGAATCCTCAGCTCCTCACAGAACCAACATTCTGTGAACATCTTAAAGACCAAATTACATTTTTCTTTGATACCAACGACAACACAGAGACTTCCCCAGCATTATTATGGGAAACGCTGAAGGCTTATTTGAGAGGCTGTATCATCTCCTTTCAGACTGCCAGGAGTAGGCAAAACAGAAAACAATTGGTAGAACTGGAGGGACAAATTCACTTACTGGATAGGGAGAATGCTAGACATCCATCTATGGAGAAACATAAACAAATTATGTCTTTAAAATTTAAATACAATCAGATCCTCTCGGCTGAAATTGCTAAATCTTTTCTCTATGCCAAGCAAAAATATTTTGAGTTTGGTGACAAACCACACAAATTACTCGCCAGACAACTTCGAAAAAACGTGAGTGACCGAATGATTCACAAAGTTAAATCTGCATCTGGGGAATTACTCTCCTCCCCCAAAGACATCAATGACAGATTCCGTCAGTTTTATGAGACTCTATATACATCTAAAGCGGATCCTAACCCCTTAATTATGCAAAACTTTTTGGAGGACTGTAATCTTCCTGCCCTGAACCAGGAAGACTCTAACTTCCTGAATAAGGAAATATCTCTTGAAGAAATTAGAGAAACAATTAAATCTCTAAAGAGTGGCAAGACCCCGGGCCCAGATGGATACCCTGGTGAATTCTATAAAACATTCAGCAACATGCTATCTCCCTACCTGCACAAAATGTTGGTTCGGGCCAATGAGGATGGAGCTCTCCCATCTACTTTGGATGAGGCGTTTATTACAGTTATACATAAGAAGGGTAAAGATCCGGAAGAGGTAGGGTCATACAGACCAATATCCCTCCTTAATACAGACCAAAAGATTTTAGCAAAAACTCTGGCTAACAGGCTTAGCACTTTAATTGGCAAATTGGTCCATTCGGACCAGACCGGCTTTATCCCTAATAGAAACTCATTCTTCAATCTCAGGCGCCTCTTCAACATTATGTATTCTCAGAGGTTACCTAACGTGGACCTTGCCGTTATATCTCTTGACGCCGAAAAGGCCTTTGACCAAGTTGAGTGGCCCTATCTATTCAAGGTCCTACAGAAATTTAATATTGGAGATGGGTTCATAAATTGGATCCAGCTTTTATATAGGAACCCCTGTGCGAGAATACTCACTAACCAATCAATGTCGCCCCGATTTAACCTTTATAGAGGGACAAGGCAGGGTTGTGCGCTGTCGCCTATGCTCTTCGCCCTAATTATTGAACCTCTCGCTCAAGCGATCAGATCTCATTCAGCAATACACGGCTATAATACTAAAGATACTCTAAATAAGATTTCCCTATACGCAGATGATATTCTCCTCTATGTAACAGAACCCCAAGCTAGTATTCCAGCTATTCTTGAGGTGATTAATTTGTTTGGTACCTTCTCGGGATACAGAATAAATTGGAACAAGAGTGAATTAATGCCCATACGGTTGCAAAACACCTCCTGGCTAGAACATCTTCCAGTTAAGTTATCTTCAGAAAAATTTATCTACCTTGGAATTGTAGTTACCAAACAATACTCCTTACTAATTAAAGAGAATTTCCCTTCTCTGATGCAAAATCTCAAGGCAAACATACAGTTTTGGAGAACTCTCCCAATTTCTCTGCTCGGAAGAATTAATGCCATTAAAATGGTCTTCCTCCCACAACTGCTCTACCTATACCAGAACATCCCAGTATTCATACCTAAATCATTTCATAAACAACTGGACTCTATTATCAATCCTTTCATCTGGGATTATAAAACACACAGGATAGGTAAAAAACACCTATGTAAATCCAAGATGGAAGGAGGATTGTCTCTCCCAAATTTTATATTCTACTATTGGGCCGCTAACCTCCGCGCTGTTACGTTTTTGCTGGATGACGCAACCCCGCCACCCAGCTGGCTTAGCATGGAGCGGGAGGAGTGTCACCCCTTCTCTATTGGTGCCGTGATTTTGTCACCTGTTAATCTGGAGATGTCACTTTACCATAACAATCCTATTATACATAGCACAGTCCGAATCTGGAAGCAAATTAAAGTCCACTTTGAGCTTAGACCAATATCATTCATGCTCCCTGTTGCCAGGAATCCCTCCTTTGCCCCCTCTAACCTTGATAACACCTTTGAGCGATGGGGAGAGTTGGGGATAAGTACCATAGGGGATTTATATATAGGAGGGACCTTTGCTTCCTTTGAAGCGCTGAGGGAAACTTATAACCTTCCCAGAAGTAACATTTTCAGATACCTACAAATTAGAGACTATGTTAGAAAACACCTCCCAACATTTGAGAATGCTAAACCTTCCATGTTTGACGGATGCATAAAAATATGCCCCACCTCAGACAAACTGATATCTCGTCTATATGACGCTTTTCAATCTGTTAGCGCACCCTCTACAGATGCCATTAAGGCAAAATGGGAGGAAGAACTAGGGACTGATATTTCGGTGGCAGACTGGGAGGATAGCTTGGAGTATATCCACACCTGCTCCATTAACTCCAGACATCGTCTCATACAATTTAAGGTATTACACAGATTACACTATTCCAAAACTAAACTGCATAGGATATTTCCTGATACATCCCCAATGTGTGATAAATGTCAGGCTGAGCAGGGTACACTACTCCACTGCTTTGCCCTATGCTCTAGTCTGTATGGTTATTGGTGTGGAATATTTGGGGTCCTCTCTGAAGTTCTGGAGACTTCAATAGACCCAGACCCGCTTCTGATAATCCTGGGAGTGTCCGACTCCCTAAACGGATTAACCAACTCCCAAAAACAACTCATCTCTTACAGTCTCATCTCGGCAAAAAAATTTATATTGTTGTTTTGGAAAAGGAGGGAAGCGCCCTCTACCAAATTATGGCTCAGTGAAGTGGCAAAAACTGTACACTTAGAAAGAATTAGATATATTCTGAACAATAAATTATCAACATTTGATCAAATCTGGCAGCCTTTCCTCTCTTACCTGGACCAGTCGGTGCTGTGACTGGGGGATAAAGGGGGGTATAAGTGGGGGGGTTACATCTACCCTTTTTCTTTCTACCTGTCCCTGTTCTGTATGTCGTGTTTTGTAATATTTGTTTTGTGTCCAGAACTCTGGGTCTTGTTGTTCATGTCTGTTCTCTTATGTTTAGATAAGAACTGTACACATGTCTTTCATACCTATACACCATTCTTGTGTGTGTTCAATAAAAAATATTTGAACAGAACTTATCTACGCGGCACATTCCTTTATCCAAATAGTTTCCCAAAGCCAGGTCTAGGAGTGCCCAATGACCTGTACCATTTTCTTTTATTTAAATGTCTAACCACTCCAAAGTGGTCCTTCATTCGTTTCACTGGACACAATACTGAGTTGAGTCAAGTGTTTCAAGCATCTTTGGCAGAGTGAGCACGACAACTGTGTGTGTGTGTAACTCATTGTGTATGAAAAGGGTGTCACATTGAGGACTGAATGATTCACTACAGAAACTACATTTTACATTTTAGTCATTTAGCAGACGCTCTTATCCAGAGCGACTTACAGTAAGTGAGTGCATAATTTATTTTATTTTATTTGTTATTTTATTTTTTCATACTACACACATTTATCCTAGTGGTGGTGTTTTTGGGCATGCTCTTTTATATATTATTAGCAGATATATTGTGTTGATCTTTCATCATTAGGTATAAGTGGTTCCAAGACCTTGGACTGAAGTGGTATGCTGTGCCTGCGGTGTCCAACATGCTGCTGGAGATTGGTGGAATTGAATTCACCGCCTGTCCCTTTAATGGCTGGTAAATGGGCACTGAGATTGGTGTGAGGGATTTCTGTGACTATCAGCGTTATAATGTCTTGGAGGTAAGGCTCACTTTCACAGGTACTCACCATGGCTACAGCATAGGGTTGTGCTCAGTAGGAGTAGCACATGTTTTGAAATGGAGGAGGTAACCTCATCTGGAATAACCAAAAAGCTCATTTTCTGTTTTAAAATGTTTTCTTGTTTCATACGTCTGCAACACAACCCTGGCTGACTTGATAATGATGCAATGATTGAGGATGTTTAGGCTTCCTGTCCATACAGGAAGTGGGTCACAGGATGGGCCTGCAGACACACAAGCTGTCCTCACTGTGGAAGGACCAGGCCTTGGTGACCATCAATGTTGCAGTCATATACAGTTTCCAGGTAACCTATGATTTTCATGTATACGGGGCCAATCCAAAGGCATGTTTTTCCCAGTAGAAATCCCAAGTTATGTTGTTGTTGCTGTTGTTGTTTTGTTACATCATTAGTTTTTTTAATACCTACAATTTTAAATAAGATACTTCCATCCCATAATATTTAGCCAGAGGATGCTACACTACAATGACAACTGTTCAGCCATCAACTGGAGTTTTCCTTGAGATAAATGTACTCCTTTTGTCTCATTACTGTACACTGCAGAAGAACAGGGTGACCATCACAGACCACCACTCTGCAGCCAAGTCCTTTATGAAGCACATGGAGACAGAGTTCCGGCTGCGCGGCGGCTGCCCTGCAGACTGGGCCTGGCTGGTTCCTCCCATGTCTGGCTCCCTCACCCCCATCTTCCACCAGGAGATGGTCAACTACATCCTCTCTCCCTTCTTCTACTACCAGGTAGATTCTGAGACACCATCTTGTATCGCAGTGGTCTAAGGCACTGCATCGCAGTGCTAGCTGTGCCACTAGAGATCCTGGTTCGAGTCCAGGCTCTGTCGCAGCCGACCGCGACTAGGAGACCCATGGGCGGTGCACAATTGGTCCAACGTCGTCCAAGGTAGGGGAGGGTTTGGCCGGCAGCGATGTGGGTTTGTTTCCCACGGGGGGACAGTATAATTTTTTTATTTTTTTTTAAATAAACATGTATGCATTTACTAACTGTAAGTCGCTCTGGATAAGAGCGTCTGCTAAATGACAAAAATGTCAATGTATTGTGCATAGTATATAGGTTATGTCATTCATCTGGTTAAGCTCCACCTTACATAATTACAGGGCAGTTGCTATATGACCATCTGTGACTGTTGTTGTTGTTGTTGTTGTTGTTAGAAGCCTGATCCCTGGACTACCCATGTCTTGAGAAATGGGGAGAAGTGCCTGAGGAAGCAACAGATCAGCTTCAAAGCGGTGGCCAGGTAATGTTCCATGGACTATGACACCCATATCTGTAATGCTTTATGAACACATTCATGATGCGTTATAAATTATAATGCAGTCCTAATCATATTATTGACATAGCTATAAACATAATGGTTGAGGTTGAGCTAAACCATGCTCATAATGCATTACAAAGTATTATCATTAATGTCTGGTTCCCTCCTATAGGGCGGCGCTCTTTTCTTCAACCCTTATGAGCAGAGTGCTGGCGAACAGGGTGCGCTGCACTATCCTGTACGCTACTGAAACAGGGAAATCACAGACATTGGCCCAGAGACTGAACTCCATGCTAAACTGTGCCTTCAACTCCAGGGTAGGACATCCATCTCATCTCTATGAAGGCTGATAGGGGGCCTACTGCCTCAGGATAATATGCTTCAGGGCATTTGTGTGTGTTAAGCACTGTGAATCAATGTAAAACTCTAGTTTAATTGGAACCTAAATGTATGTGAGGACTACATTGAGCTAATTCAGAGTTCATTTACAGAATGAGCAATGGGGATTTAGCTAGCTAGTAGATGTGCTTGTACAATGTACAATCTGTTGATGTATTAAGTCACTACTGTCCTCAAAATACAGAATTTCCCAGAAAGTTTACAAAGTTAACTAAAGCTGCTCTGTATATCTTCAAAGTTGCTCTGTATGGAGGACTATAACTTCAGTGACATGGAACAGGAGATCCTTCTGATTGTGGTAACAAGCACCTTTGGGAATGGAGACTTCCCTGGAAATGGAGAGGTGTGTTTTTGTGTTTGTGTATTTTGAAGATATTAACAATAATATTTTCCCCCACAATTTTAAAATGTAATGTCTCAATATTCCCCACATGTTAATATTTATTTCTCTAGAGTTTCAAGAAGCAGCTTTTCTCCTTGCAGAATCTCAGGAACAAGTTAAGGTAAGTAGTATCTCAAGCATTTCTCTCTGCATTGCCCTCTCCGTACTGGGCTGTACATGTACATCAGTGGAGGCTGCTGAGGGGAGGGCGGCTCATAATAGTCATTTCATTTCATTTTCATTTTCGTCATTTAGCAGACGCTCTGATCCAGAGCGACTTACAAATTGGTGCATTCACCTTATGATAGCCAGTGGGACAACCACTTTCCAATATATATATATTTTTTATTTTCTTTTTTTTGGGGGGGGGGGGGTGGGGTAAGGGGGGGTAGAAGGATTACTTTATCCTATCCCAGGTATTCCTTAACGAGGTGGGGTTTCAAGTGTCTCCAGAAGGTGGTGAGTGACTCCGCTGCCCTGGCGTCGTGAGGGAGCTTGTTCCACCATTGGGGTGCCAGAGGAGCGAACAGTTTTGACTGGGCTGAGCGGGAACTGTGCTTCCGCAGAGGTAGGGGGGCCAGCAGGCCATAGGTGGATGAACGCAATGCCCTCGTTTGGGTGTAGGGACTGATCAGAGCCTGAAGGTACGGAGGTGCCGTTCCCCTCACAACTCCGTAGGCAAGCACCATGGTCTTGTAGCAGATGTGAGCTTCAACTGGAAGCCAGTGGAGTGTGCGGAGAAGCGGGGTGACGTGAGGGAACATGGGAAGGTTGAACACCAGACGGGCTGCGGCGTTCTGGATGAGTTGTAGGGGTTTAATGGCACAGGCAGGGAGCCCAGCCAAAAGCAAGTTGCAGTAATCCAGACGGGAGATGACAAGTGCCTGGATTAGGACCTGTGCCTCTTCCTGTGTAAGGCAGGGTCGTACTCTGCGAATGTTGTAGAGCATGAACCTACAGGATCGGGCAACCGCCTTGATGTTTGCGGAGAACGACAGGGTGTTGTCCAGGGTCACGCCAAGGCTCTTTGCACTCTGGGAGGAGGACACAACGGAGTTGTCAACCGTGATGGCGAGATCATGGAACGGGCAGTCCTTCCCCGGGAGGAAGAGCAGCTCCGTCTTGCCGAGGTTCAGCTTGAGGTGGTGATCCGTCATCCACACTGATATGTCTGCCAGACATGCAGAGATGCGATTCGCCACCTGGTTATCAGAAGGGGGAAAGGAGAAGATGAATTGTGTGTCGTCTGTGTAGCAATGATAGGAGAGGCCATGTGATGATATGACAGAGCCAAGTGACTTGGTGTATAGCGAGAATAGGAGAGGACCTAGAACTGAGCCCTGGGGGACACCAGTGGTGAGAGCACGTGGTGCGGAGACAGATTCTCGCAACGCCACCTGGTAGGAGCGACCTGTCAGGTAGTACGCAATCCAAGAGTGAGCCGCGCCGGAGATGCCCAACTCGGAGAGGGTGGAGAGGAGGATCTGATGGTTCACAGTATCAAAGGCAGCAGATAGGTCTAGAAGGATGAGAGCAGAGGAGAGAGAGTTAGCTTTAGCAGTACGGAGAGCCTCCATGACACAGAGAAGAGCAGTCTCAGTTGAATGACCAGTCTTGAAACCTGACTGGTTTGGATCAAGAAGGTCATTCTGAGAGAGATAGCAAGAGAGTTGGCTAAAGACGGTACGCTCAAGTGTTTTGGAGAGAAAAGAAAGAAGGGATACTGGTCTGTAGTTGTTGACATCAGAGGGATCGAGTGTAGGTTTTTTGAGAAGGGGTGCAACTCTCGCTCTCTTGAAGACGGAAGGGACATAGCCAGCGGTCAAGGATGAGTTGATGAGCGAGGTGAGGTAAGGGAGAAGGTCTCCGGAAATGGTCTGGAGAAGAGAGGAGGGGATAGGGTTAAGCGGGCAGGTTGTTGGGCGGCCGGCCGTCACAAGTCGCAAGATTTCATCTGGAGAGAGAGGGGAGAAAGAAGTCAATGTCACGAATACTGCCGAGGCTGCTCCTCCTCCTTGTTCGGGCAGGCTTCGGCGTTCGTCGTCCCCGGAGTACTAGCTGCCACCGTTTGATGTTTCGATGTTTGTTTGGTCATGTCTAGTTTAGTGCACCTGTTTCGTATTCTGTCCTGATTATGTCACCTATACGTTTCCCTGTGTTATGTTTTGGAGTTGTGTGTTATTGTCCGCATTGTCGTTTGTCTTTTTTCGGTATATGTTGTGCTTAGTGTAGTTTACGCGTTGCGCGTATTCTTTGCCTCCTGTGTGTTCGAGGCCATTTATTTTGGATTGTCTTTGAGTCTCAGTAAAGTCGTTTTGACTTATCCGCTGTGTCCTGCGCCTGACTTCACCACCACTTCCACAAATATACCGTGACAGTCAAAGCATAGGGTAGGGCAGTGTGAGCAGGACCAGCAGTGTCATTTGACTTAACAAACGAGGATTGGATGTCGTCAACCTTCTTTTCAAAATGGTTGACGAAGTCATCCACAGAGAGGGAGGAGGGGGGGAGGGGGAGGAGGATTCAGCAGGGAGGAGAACGTGACAAAGAGCTTCCTAGGGTTAGAGGCAGATGCTTGGAATTTAGAGTGGTAGAAAGTGGCTTTAGCAGCAGAAACATAGGAAGAAAATGTAGAGAGGAGGGAGTGAATAGATGCCAGGTCCGTAGGGAGTCTGGATTTCCATTTCCGCTCGGCTGCCCGGAGCCCTGTTCTGTGAGCTCGCAATGAGTCGTCAAGCCACGGAGCAGGAGAGGAGGACCGAGCCGACCGGGAGGATAGGGGACATAGAGAGTCAAAGGATGCAGAAAGGGAGGAAAGGAGGGTTGAGGAGGCAGAATCAGGAGATTGGAGGGAGAAGGATTGAGCAGAGGGAAGAGATGATATGATGGAAGAGGAGAGAGTAGCGGGAGAGAGAGAGCGAAGGTTGCGACAGCGCATTACCATCTGAGAAGGGGCAGAGTGAGTAGTGTTGGAGGAGAGCGAGAGAGAAAAGGATACAAAGTAGTGGTCGGAGACTTGGAGGGGTGTTGCAGTGAGATTAGTAAAAGAACAGCATCTAGTAAAGATGAGGTCAAGCGTATTTTCTGCCTTGTGAGTAGGGGGGGGGGGGGGGGGGGGGGGTGAGAGGGTGAGGTCAAAAGAGGAGAGGAGTGGAAAGAAGAAGGCAGAGAGAAATGAGTCAAAGGTAGACGTAAGGAGGTTAAAGTCACCCAGAACTGTGAGGGGTGGGCCATCCTCAGGAAAGGAACTTATCAAGGCGTCAAGCTCATTGATGAACTCTCCAAGGGAACCTGGAGGGCGATAAATGATAAGGATGTTAAGCTTGAATGGGCTAGTGACTGTGACAGCATGGAATTCAAATGAGGAGATAGACAGATGGGTCAGGGGAGAAAGAGAGAATGTCCACTTGGGAGAGATGAGGATTCCTGTGCCACCACTCCGCTGACCAGATGCTCTCGGGGTATGCGAGAACACATGGTCAGACGAGGAGAGCGCAGTAGGAGTAGCAGTGTTTTCTGTGGTAATCCATGTTTCCGTCAGCGCCAAGAAGTCGAGGGACTGGAGGGTAGCATAGGCTGAGATTAACTCTGCCTTGTTGGCTGCAGAACGGCAGTTCCAGAGGCTGCCGGAGACCTGGAACTCCACGTGGGTCGTGCGTGCAGGGACCACCAGGTTAGAGTGGCAGCAGCCACGCGTGTGAGGCATTTGTATAGCCTGTGCGGAGAGGAGAGAACCGGAATAGACAGACGCATAGTTGACAGGCTACAGAAAATGGCTACAATAATGCAAAGGAGATCGGAATGAAATGAACTAAACATCTGGGAAAGCGAGAGAGCGGGGCCTCCCTCACTTACGTTTCACTGAAACACTCAAATATAACTCTCCCAACTTCCACTTTAGAAATTATAATTGTTGTAAACTACAGAGGTTCAATGTTTTCTAGGAATAGACTAACTTAGTTTATTCAGGAAGCTAACTTGGTACAGTATTCTTCCGTGAAAACCGTCCAGGGCACCGAATCCTATGACGCCATAGCCAACTAGCATGCCAGGCTCCAATAACACGGTTTAGCACCAATACTTGGTTACAACAAACCACCAGTGTGTTAACACGCCAAGCAGATCATTTGTGTCCGTGTCTAACATTGTGTAAAGTTTTGGGTTAGTTTTGACAGTTTGAATGAGTCCGTCGTCAACTTATTCAGCCAGTTAGTTAGCTAGAATAGTTAGCATACTAGCTAGACATTGCTCTCTGCCAACGAAAAAACCCCTCCTCCCACGGCACGAACACACAGAGAGAGCCAAGCTAACGTTAACTAGTCACCCATGTCCCGAATTCCCTTGAATGACTCTGGTTACCAGTATGTAAAAACGAAACACAAATGTAGGTTATAACTTACCCTTAGTAGCTACTGTTAGCCAGTTAAGTGCAAAGCTAGCCACTGAATCGATTCAGCCAGTTGGCTGGAACGGAGCGAATGGAATGGCATTAAACATATGGAAACCATGTGTTTGATGTATTTGATACCATTCCACTTATTCCGCTCCGGCCACTACCACAAGCCCGTCCTCCCCAATTAAGGTGCTACCAATCTCCTGTGATGTACATGTCTTTAAGATGTACTAATTTGTTGAAGTGGCAGCTTGACTACCGTCTCTGACACCTCTCTTTGGTTTTGAAACTTTTCTTATCTCCCCTCTCCTCCCCCAGGTACTGTGTGTTTGGACTGGGCTCGAGGATGTACCCACAGTTCTGTGTGTTCGTCCATGCCGTGGATGCCAATCTGGAGGAGCTGGGGGCAGAGCGGGTGACGCCCACTGGAGAGGGGGATGAACTGAATGGGCAGGAGGAGGCCTTCTCTGACTGGGCTCTCACCACTCTCAAAGTGGACGGACAACGGAGGATGGCTCTCTGGCTTAAAAGTGGATCTTAGCTATGTGTTGACGATCATGTTTGCAGTATATTTTATAGTATACATATTAACATACTCCTGGTATGTCTACTATATGCTCAAGTAACATTACAAAAAATACCTGTTATGATCTTTAATCTCATAAGCATTTGCATATCATTTTGATCTACATAGTGTATTTAATCATTGAGCCTAAGCACGCTTGCTCTGCTTCCAGGATGCCTATAAGGAGTTCAACATCCAGGGACAGCTGAGTCTGCAGCTCCCTGGGGCAGAGCGACTCTGCGAGGCCTGGGACCCCCTGAGATAGCACGTAGCGCTGGAGAGCTGCCCCCAGGACCACATCACAGGTACTACACCTGGGCCAGGGGATGAACATTTGACAAGGGACTGGTGTAGCACTATAAAGCATTATAAACAAATCTTGTATTTCAGTCAGCCAGTTGTACGTGATGATTTTCACTGTCCTCTCTTTCGCAGCACTTTCAGCCATTCACTCTAAAACTGTCTTCCCCATGAAACTGAAGAGGAGACAGAATCTATAGAGCCTCCATTCAAGGTTCAGTTATTGTCATCTGCCACAGTATTTTTTTTTTACCCACTAGCATGTTATTTTTGCAATACTTTCAATGTTATTGACAGGACTCAATGTTTTTGACAGGACTCAATGTTTTTTGACAGGACTCAATGTTTTTTGACAGGACACAATGTTTTTGACAGTGTTTAATTCAGCATTGTCATTCTTGTTTCTAGCCGGTCCACCATTCTGGTGGAGCTGGAGAGGGAGAGAAGTGCAGAGGTCATGAACTTTGCTCCAGGAGACTATGTTGGTGTTTTCCCAGGGAATCTACCTCAACTGGTGGCTGGCATCCTAAAGTTCCTTCCCCATACGCCCCCAACCAACCAGTGCCTACGACTGGAATACCGCTCTGACTCCTGCCTAGGTACAACACTATTCATTAATAATGGTGCTGATTGAGGTAACCACTGTAAAATCAGATTTTTTTTAGGAAGACATCGTCTTCGAAAAATGGCCACTGTTAAGATTACTCTGCATTTCTATTTCTCAACAGATGACGAGAAAAACTGGCATCCCAGCATGCCCTTTGTCTCAGGCACTCACCTACTTCCTGGATGTGACCACGCCCCCCTGTCAGAACCTCCTCCACAAGCTCTCTCAGCTGGCGAGACAGGAGGGGCACAGCCAGCGTCTGCTGACCTTGGCAAAGGTAACTCCTGTTTGTCTCAAGGACTAATGTAGTGTTCATTATTGTCTCTTGAAATAAAAAAGAGATATATCATGAAAGAAGAGCCTTTAACCTACCACCCTTTGGAATTATATAGAATTTAAGAAAATAATCATCCATACCTGTAGCACTATTTCATACATAGAACTCTGAAAGCCTATGCACTTTCCCAAAACATTATATAAACAGATATTTTGCTCGTTATTTAGCTTCTGTCTTAATTTTCCATCAGGAATCTCAGGAGTACATGACCTGGAAAACGTTCCGTGTTCCCACCTTACTGGAAGTCCTGGAGGAGTTCCTGTCTTTAGAACCCTCTGCACCCTTTCTCCTCAGCCAGCTGCCCCTGCTCAAGCCACGCCTCTCTCCATCAGCTCCTCCCCTCAGCTTCACCCCAATGAGCTACATCTCACTCTGATGGTGCTCAACTATTACACACAAGGTACCGGACATTAGATTTTACATTTTAGTCACTTAGCAAATACTCTTATCCAAGGTACAGGACAGTGCGACTCAACTTAGAAATGACAATACATCAGTTATCAAATGCTTTGAAAGGAATTTGAACTGCTATCTCTTGGCTGTGAAAGTAACTGTACTGTATTTTTCTGTACTGTTCAACCTCTAGATGGACAGGGTCCTCTTCACCACGGGGTCTGCAGCACCTGGCTGAATACCATTAAGAAAGGAGACCTTGTACCATGTTTCATCTACAGGTATAGAACGTACTGTAACATACGTATGTCAGTGGCTGATACTTTCTCCAATTGCACCAAATGATTGGTTGTAGCCTATCCCCAGTATAATTGATTGAGATTATTATTTCAAGTGAAGCTAACTGATTGTGTTATTGTTTACAGTTCAGGTGGGTTCCACCTCCCAGCAGAGCCCAGCACTCCAGTCATTCTGTTGGGGGCTGGCAGTGGCATCCCTCCCTTCCGAAGCTTCTGGCAACAACGGCTACATGACATGAAACACCCAGGTAGTGTGTGTGTGTCTGTGTGTCTGTGTGTCTGTCTATGTGTCTGTTGATACAAGATCTCTGACCTTAAGGGCTATGGTTTTGTCTTGGCAGGGTTCTCTGGAAGTCCTATGAGTCTTGTGTTTGGCTGCCAGAGTTCGGAGACAGACCCTTTATACAAAGAGGAGACACTGGAGATGAGAAGGCTAGGGGTCCTGAAGAGTGTTACATCCACATATTCCGCCAGCCAGGTCACCCAAAGGTACTGTTGCATTAAGTCATTTACAAACAAATCATGTACTGTGTGAGCACTTGAAAAGCTTGATTGAATCTGATTGGCTTAAGATTCAAGTGAAGGTTGAAGCTTAAAATTGTTCCTATCTCCTTGTACTGTGCCTCCTATTCCTAACCGTTGACCTCTGTGTGTGAGCAGGTCTATGTCCAGGATGTCCTGAGGGAGAGGATGGCAGGGGAGGTGCTGAGTGTGTTGCACCAGAAGGAGGGTCACCTCTACGTGTGTGTGTGGGGGGGGGTAAGTAAGTGGACAGTAAGTGGACTGTAGTAAGTGGACAGTGTTTTACAATGCTTGTATGGTTTGTATTTTTGTTTCTTTATTTGCAGATTCAGAAGAGGTACCATGAGGATATTTTTGGAGCCCAGTTTCAGAAGTGAGGTGATCGGGATGGAGAAAGATCTACACATAACATGCATTTGTCTCTCTGCTTGTGATGCCCTGTTTTTGTTTTTGTTGACAGATTAGGATTGTCACTTTGGAACATGTTTGTAGCTGTTGGTGGTCCCAAACAAACCAGATAGACATCATTTGGCACACTGTTTGAAAAAGTACCCAATTTCACAGTTTTCACTTTATTATTAAAGCACTGTAAGTATATTTCAAAGAGATGATTATTATATTTACATTCACACCATGATATTAAAGATAGATTATAGTTGCATAGGTGATACGTTTTTGTAGTGTTTGTACAATATATAATGGAATGTGGGATTGTTGAATCTGAATTATACATCATGGGAATATGCTTGTAATCCAAATGTGTTTTACATGTTGTGAATATTAATTTGAATAAAAATAATATTACATAATCATTGTAGTTTATGCCTTCTTGCAAGCCTCTGGTTCAGAGTATCAGTGACCGCAAGAAGGTCAAAGAAGAGAAAGTCTATCAGTGCTGCTGAGATTTGAGAAGTTTATGCCTGGGAAAGTACAGATAGATTTCCTTAGTTTCAATGTCAGAGAATTTGTCCCATCCCCATTGCAGTGTTTTAAATGCCAAAGAATGGGACATGTAGCTGTTCAATGTAAAGGAAGGAAAAGATATGCCAAGTGTGGAGGGAAACATGAATAAGGTGAATGTGGGAGCAATGTGAAGGTTAAGTGTTGTAATTGTGGGGGTAACATAGTGCAGCATTTGGTGGATGCCAGGTGCAGAGAGAGGCAAGAGTGGCTCAGAGAGATATATTTAGTTATGATGTATTATATGCAGAGGCTGTAAAACAGATTGGTGGAACTACAGTGTGGAATGATGGAGCTTCCATGGCTGCTCCTGTAGTAAGGGGACCTAATGTCAGGGCTGGAGTTTCTGGTAGAAGTTAGTAGGGATTTATTTGTTTTTTTATTTACTTTTCATGGTAGTATAGAATTGGGCAGATCATGATTGAGCGTACATTCCAGCACTGTAGGTGGCGGCATGCACTTAAACGATTGTTTGCGGACTGCCATGATATCATAGAAGAAGAAGAATATCAGTGACCGCAGCGCTTAAAATGTAGACGATCTGGAACGCGCACTTAGTTTTTACAGCGCGCTTTCGGTGCAGTTTATCCCTGCAGAAATGACATGCGGAAGTGGTGGTCGTCCATGCTGGTGAAAAGAGCCTCTGTAGTTGGTGTTGCTAACTATGATCTTTGAGTTTACTGGATAATTACCTAGCTGCATTTTACACTCATAGTGTAGTTAAATTCAAGTCCATTATGGCTGGAAGTCGACTTGAAAAATTCGGAACAGTGTTCACGCGGTAGCCAGTTTAATTTCTGTCATTCAAGGTTACTGGAGGATACTATCTAGTTTTCTAGACCCTTTAGAGTTTGCTAGCTAACTAAGTTTAGCTAGATACAATTTTATTTGATGGTTGAGTGTCTTTTCAGCCAATGCTATCAAGGCTATGGTTCCGCATAATAGAAATGAATGCTAACGTTATCTAGATAGCGCTTTGCATGTGAAATTGAGAATGCATGGGATGCATTTGCTCCATTGTTTACATTTTTGCTGGTGGCTCACTGGTTTCATTTTCATTTTCAGAGATCTTATGCGTTCTGGAGTTGTCAAACAGTCTGACAAGCCCATTTGGTATGATGTATACAAGACCTTTCCACCCAAGAAAGACACACTTTATGTCAGACAGTGGCCAAGATCTATGGGAAGAAAGAAGATGCTGTGCCTGACATCTTCTACAGAGAGGATGAAATCAGAGCGTAAGCTAATGAAACGGTTTGCCTTAAAGTTTTTACTGCCATTCAAAAGCTGTTAGGATTGGAAATGTTGATCAGCACCGGTGTCTGTTCCAGGAAATTATATGAGGTGTATGGAACAGGGCCCAGAGCTTTTGATCTCTCCAAATCCAACTTTGTTTCAACATGCCAAAGGTATGGGCAAATCTTCACAATTAATCACATTGATCAAAGGTTCGTCAAGTTTTGGGATTCCACATGTCTGCAATGCTGGATACTAACTACTGCAGTTCTATAAAGTTTTTTTTATTTTCTCCTTTGTGTAGGTTTGTGGAGATGCACACAGAGTTAGAGAGCTGGGGAGAGCTGGAGAAACAGTACGCACTTCAGCACTCGGCGGCCCTGTTCTGTGAGCTTATGTGGCCTACCACTTCGCGGCTGAGCCGTTGTTTCTTCTAGACATTTCCACTTCACAATAACAGCACTTACAGTTGACTGGGGCAGCTGTAGCGGGGCAGACAAACTGACTTGTTGGAAAGGTGGCATCCTATGATGGTGTCACGTTGAAAGTCACTGTGCTCTTCAGTAAGGCCATTCTACTGCCAGTGTTTTTCTATGGAGATTGCATGGTTGTGTGCTCAATTTTATACAGCAATGGGGGTGGCTGAAATAGCTGAATCCACTAATTTGAAGGAGTGTCCACATACTTTTGTAAATATATATAGTGTGTATACTAATCACTTACAATCACAAGACCTTCTGTTTGTAACGGAATGGCTGCACTTTTGCCGGTTGACCTGCAGGTGGCGTCAGAGACCAGGGATCCAGTGTTGGGCATGAAGCTGACAGACATGCTGGCGGAACTGCAAACAGATGCAACTGGCGAAACACAGACACCAGGAGAAGAGACGCCAACACAAGCACCAGTGACTCCACAGTAGGCCTCTGCAACATGGCTTGAACCATGCTCTTCACCTAGATGGAACCCACATGAGGTTGGTGGCACCTTAATTGAGGAGGACGGGCTCGTGGTAATGGCTGGAGCGGAATTGGTGGAATGGTATCAAATACATGGTTTCCATGTGTTTGATGCCATTCCATTTGCTCCATTCCAGACATTATTATGAGCCGTCCTCCCCTCAGCAGCCTCAACTGATGGAACCAACCATCCACCTCCACTGACTAAAAAGGGGACTTTCAGTATCTGTCCAACACTAGGCTGATACTCCTCAGTCCAGACTTTCTGAACAATGTGGATCAACAAGAAATACTTCTTGTTCAGTTTTTCTGGGTGGGCCAGGTCAGCTTTCACGACCCTCCGTCTTGACCTAAGGTTTTTGAGCGGTAATGTGTAGGAGTCCAAGTTATTGTACATTTCTGGTCTGGAACCCTGTAAGACTGGTGTTATGCATAAGGCTGTAAATGTATATTCAGTGTGTGTAACATCTACTGTATGTCCTATTGAACTCTTGAGGATTCACTTGCAAGATGATGGTTACGTTGCAGTGTGCTTTCAGACTTTTGACAGTCCACCCCTGTTGATAGGAGGTGACGTCGCTGTGATGATCGATTGGCACCGAGTGATCAGTAAAGTCATTATGTATTCTAGAATGTGGCCTCTTTTCCTCTGTTGCTCATCCTCCGGTATCTTTCAGTCACGCTGCAGAACTCTCATGCAAGACAAGCAAGCTGTGCGTGAGAGTTGATATTGCATTCTCCATTTGCTGCTGTGACAGTGTAATTCGGCAGTGTCTGCCTGAGCTTCTGGAATGAAATGGAGATATTAATGCCATATTGCTTCACAGAGAAATACTACTGAGCACATAACCACATCAGCCGACTGGGGATGAGAAATTGTGAGTAAATAGGAAAGGATTGACATCAACACCTATCCCACTGAATTATTAATAATTAAACTCCACAAAACTATATTTAAATTAAGATTAGTGTCTACTGCCACAATTCAAATGAGCACCACACCAACATTGGATGTTGTTCTGAACATAATCTTGACATATCTGTATTTTTCCATATATATTTCAGATTCAATAACATTTCAAAGCATACCTGAATAACATACCAAGTAACCAGTTATTAGAACCTCTGCAGGTTACCTTTTCTCTTCTCTCTAATCAGGATAATCATCAGTCTTCCTGTTCTCACCGCTTGTAGAGACTTTGATCCACTATATGACCTAGCAGCCCTGCAGTTCAACTGCCATTTAAAAATACATCTAAGGAGGGCTTATATCTAGAGCCTTGGAGAAGCACTGGTCTGGGTTATTTGCTCTGGAAAAAACTAGCATCCATGAGCGTTTTCCAGGTACCACAGTTCCCCCCCCCCCCTCTCTTTCCTCCACCGTCTTTTCAAAGAGATGACCTTGGCGGCGTTTCTCATTATCAGCCGTCTTTCTGTTTATCGAAAGAGAACTGTCCATCTCACAGTCTATTCTGCGCTCGCATGGAGAGGAGAAATGATATCACCAGCGTAATGGAATGGGTGATTGTCTGCACACAGTCAAAGAGAAAGCAATTCTGTGGCGGATGGATGGCAAGACTGTCTGAGGGCCTAATGAACAGAAGGGAGGGATAGAATCAGGGAGAGATGTAGAGGAGGGATGGGAGGGAAAGAATCAGGGAAGGAGGGAGAGAGTTGGGTTGGGAATGAGAAGAACAATCCTTGTCTGTCTGCCGTATCCATAGGCTCAGAGGGGAGAAACGGACAGTCAGTGGGGTGTGTTGGCAAAACCTGTGGCTTGATGCAATCCTTAAAGATGTGATTTTTCACTGTTTTCCTTTATCTTATTTTAAGGGTTAAATAATATAGTTTCTGTAGAGGTGTGGGTGAGCATATAGCCTACAGGAATATTCTGACGTGCTTTCTGTATGTGTTGAATGGTTGAGTTTGTAAGTTCCAGGTGGAGAAATGTGGAGAGCAACCTTTGTTTTAAGACAGAATTAATACAATGAACATTACGAAGGAGGTCTTAAACTAGAGAAACACTGTCTGGCAGTAGATGGCTTCTTGGCAGCAGCCCCAAGATTTCTCAATATTTCCTTTCATAATGTATTTTCAGGCAGGTAAAATAAAAAATATCTGCCAGACTCTGGATGCAAATGATTCCAATTGAGCATGGCCTGGAATTTTAGTGATCAAAATGCCATTCTCTTTGTCACTGGAGTTGAGCATGGATAACAGTTTACTGCTTCTGGCACAGATTTCTAAAGAAGCACCATTATTGGGCTGTGGAGGAGAGACTAGATGCCGTCAAAAGCATTTAAAGATTAATTCTGTAAGTGAAAAGTGTTTGGGCGAGAATTCTGCGTTAGGGCGGTGTTCTGTGTATATGTAACTACAAAACTATTGTTTACACCTGGCACCTGGTTGGTTGTCAAATGTGATCAGTGGTATAAAATAAAACTGAATTCATTAAATATGTAACAATGGATTTTCTCCTTGAAATGTTGGGTAGCCTAGGTTCTGTAGATCAGTAAAAATATATAATTTAATGTGTTTTAATTCTGGTTTGTAAGGGGCTGTAGAATTTATATAGTCACTGTACCATAGCCTATATACAATAGAACATTCAATAATCCATTCAATGGCTGTATTTCCATTTTTCCTTATTCATAAATGGGTCAAAATGAAATGTAAATTGAACTTTCTTTCTCTTCAATTCTTTCTCCCACTCTGTCTTTGTCTTCCTGCTCACTGGCAGTGCTCTCACAAAGATATCTCATCTCGTTGGCATTATACAGTCAGTGTCTGAAAGCAGCTTAATTGTTTTGCCTTTCTATTGCTTACAATAAAGCCTGGCTTGTCAGTCACTTTGAGGGATAACTGTATCACAATTTGCAAGGCAGTGGATGAGGGAGTTTAAATATATATTTTTAATGTCATGTTTAATTTTGACATTTGATATCCTGCATACCAAGTAGTCATTATGATGTCCTTGTCATACCATCCTTTTCCACCTTAAACAGCCTAGCCTAGGAAAAATCACTTACGCTTGGACTAAAGTTTGACCGTTTTTCACCTGATGTGTAGTTTTACCTGGAAGAGCTATTGATTTGGGCTGGGCAATTCTAAGACACTACAACAGTTCATTCTCATAATGCATTCATATGTTAATCTTGCATAGAAAGGGTATGTAAACATGAAACAATAGGCGTTCAAACAGCCAGAATTCAAATTGGCAATCCAATTTCAGTGGTCATCAAATTTAAATGGACTCATGGCAAGCCTAACTAACATACTTTGTTTCTGTTTGTGGACCGACTGTCTGACAGCTGTATGTACAGGAAAACACTCACACACTGACTGGAGTGTTTGTGGACCGACTGTCTGACAGCTGTATGTACAGGAAAACACTCACACACTGACTGGAGTGTTTGTGGACCGACTGTCTGACAGCTGTATGTACAGGAAAACACTCACACACTGACTGGAGTGTTTGTGGACCGACTGTCTGACAGCTGTATGTACAGGAAAACACTCACACACTGACTGGAGTGTTTGTGGACCGACTGTCTGACAGCTGTATGTACAGGAAAACACTCACACACTGACTGGAGTGTTTGTGGACTGACTGTCTGACAGCTGTATGTACAGGAAAACACTCACACACTGACTGGAGTGTGTCGGCAGCTCACACTCACTTTTTCTAGGACCAATATTCAGAGACCTAAACTACGAATGTAGTTTGAAGAGTTAGCAGGTAACTTTGGGTAACTCTGTGTTCAATTTGGGATAACCGGTACCACGAAAGTGGCCTACGTTGTAGCCAGGTACATTTCTATGGCAACGAATCCTTCAGATCTAACCTGCTCTGGGACAGGTTAACTCAGGGATAACTACATTTATCCTGAATGAAGTGTCTGAGCCGCGAGGTGAGGACCAATTAGTCTAAATCAGATTCCCTCCTATTCTCCTATCTTGTCCAATAAATACTAAAGAAAACAACTGTTCTTTAAAACATAAGTCCTTTATTCAAATTAACCGGAGCCGTACAAGTATCGTGCATTGAGCTGTTTTCCCACTGCTGTGCGTCCCCTAAGTGGTTACATGGCCTCGGAAACAA